CTGTCAATTGCTCAACAATAATTTTTTCACCCACCGTAGAATACTTATGCTCTTGAGAGAAGCCACTAGTGAAACCTATGGCCCCCGGGTCTATTCTCATCATATCAATCTCCATCACTTTAATCTTGCTTTGCTTTTTACTTTGCCTTTACTTTTTACTTTGCATCTTTATACCAAAAATACCAAAAATATTATATCTATCAGATCTCACTCTTGTAAGTGACCATGAAGGGATTGACAACCCCTAATCGCGTTGGTTGCGAGTAGCTATCGTTTTGTGCAGGTACGAGGGACTTGAGCGTGGCCTCCTACTAGATTGATACCTTGGTTCTCAAAAACTGAGGGAAATACTTACGCTACTCTGCTGCATCATCCCTTCCTCTTCGGGGAAAACCAACGCAAGCTCAAGACATAGCAATCCCTTTTCATAAGCATGCTCCGCGGGCGAGCAGCGAGACTGGTTGAGACAAGTGACAGGTACCGCCGGTAAAATGGTACGGGCGCCCAGCGAGGTCACAACAAACTAACTCTAAGCTTACGGCACGGCAGCCTCACGCCGGTGCGGTAGCTACACAACACTGATACTCTAGTAGAAAGCTTGACTGCCATGGAAACTAATGGGATCCCGGGCGGCATGGATGGCCAGTCAGACCATCCCGGCGGCGTCCTCTCCTGCTAGGTCACGGAGATCTTTGTCTGGCAGGTTGATGCGGGCCCTCGAGCGCACCCCAGCCGCCTTCGCCAAGGTGGCCGTGAGCTTGCCGAGGGGTTGCTTGGAACGGTCGATGTAGCGCGCCCGGACATGAGCGCTGAACTCCCCGGGCTCGTCAATGAAGTGCAGTTGCTGGGCAAGGCGGGCTTGCGCCCTCTGCTCCTGGGTCATGCCCCCGCAGTCTTGGTGATCCTGGCGCTGGCCCTGCGTGGAGGTGTGGGCGTGGGCACCGTGCAGGACGTCGTGTTCACCTCCTCTATCTGAGGCCCTGGTGGTGTTGGTGGGGTGCCCATGATGGAGGGTGGAAGCATCTTGAATACCTTGCACAGAAAGGTGGTGGCGCCGTCGACCTCCAGGGCTTGGAGTTGGGAGGCTAGCTGTTCGGCGGTCATGAGGCGCTCCCGCTTGTCACCATCCATGGCCACCGGCCAGCAGAGCTCATCTGCCGGGGGGACCGGCACAGGCTGTGGCGGCGCCGGCACCAGATAGCCTAGATTGGGCCACGGCTTGCGCGCCAGCTCGCTGGTAAGGAAGGAGTGCTCCGACCCCACCTGGGCCAGCAACACGTCCCCTACCAGGTTCAGCTCCTCCGGGTTGGCCCGGTCTGGCCCAAGCCCAACCGCATCAGTCGGGGGTTCGGCCCACGGCCCGTCAAGGCCACCGATTGGCGAGAGCTCCCATCCGCCCGGTGGGTCCACTAGCAGAGCTGGGGCCGCTCCAACGCCCTCCTGCCAACTGGACAGCGCCTCCAGTTCGAGCAAGAGAGGGTCAGCGCGCGTGAGCTCTCCCCAGGCTGCCTCCACCTCGTCATGGAAGGTAGCCATGTCAGGCTCCGTCGGGAAGACATGCACGCCAAGCAACACATCACCCGAGGGCGTCTCCTCCTCCACTAGCATCCCTTGCAGGACGGGCAGCATCAGGGCTTGGGTCCTCGCGTCGTCTTGGGGAAGGCAGGAGTGAGGTGAGCCGTGTGCCAGCTCGCGGTCCCTCCCCAGGAACCTCTCCTTGGAGCGTGACCGGCTGCGCCTGTCTGGGCTCTCAGACCCAGGACTGGCCTCGCGGTGCCACAAGTGGTCACGAGGCGACGTGCTCCTGCGCCACCCGTGACGGGTCCCAGAGCCGCCACGCTGGCGGCTGGCAGAGCCACGCACCTGCCCGTCCGTACGGCAGCCCAGGAGGCCACCGCGCTAGCTCGAGCGGGAGCGCGCACTCTGGCGGCCATGACCTTCTGGATGCTCGTCATCATCGTCGTGAGGACGGTGTCGTGGCCCCCTTTCGCATTGCGACAGGGCACGGCGGCGGCCTGTGCCCGCACGGCCATCTTCAACCTCTCGCACCCAGCGGAACCGGGCACGGAGCGGCCACTTCGTGCTTGCACCGGAGGGCCGCTCTGACACCAGCGTGAAGTCTTGGGTCTCGTCGAGGTGGATCAGCACCGGGTTGCGGTCCCTGAGGCCCCTCCTCACGCGGCCAGCCCTCCGGCGGCGGAGGACGTCCACGGCTGTCAGAAGGCCTGTCGATGATGGAGAAGTCGTTCGCTGTGGGGATGTCGTCCGGCGACCAGGCCCAGACCCAGGCGTAGGCCAGGGACGTGTTGGAGAGGGAGGTGGTTTGCCTGTCCAGGCGATCGACCTTGCAGGAGAGGCCGATCACGTCATGCACAGCTTCCTTGCGCCAGGCCTGGACGGGGATCCCCTCGATCGCCAGCCGGCAGTAGAAACGGGAAACGCGTTGGTGGCCGCGGGCGACCGGCGACTAGGGAGAGAGGGTGAGCGCCACTCCCCGGCATGTCACGACCCCAGCGTCCACCGCAATGTCGCGATGGCGGGCATGGCCGAAACATACCAGGAAGTCTTCTGGGTGATGCTTTGAGACATGCATCTGGTCCCAGGGGATGTTGAGGTCACGCTTCAGTGCCTTGGCCACCAGCTGGGGGTTGATGTCCTGCCTCCTCTCCGACATGGTGACCAGGATGGCCGAAGCGCGCAGGGTGCGGGCAGCATCTTCCATCGCCTGGGTGCTGGTGGTGAACGTGGTCCCAGCCCCCAGACGCTGCGACGCCTCGCCGGGGCGGTACGCCATGGGAGCGCGGGAAGGAACGGACGGGCGGGGGCGCGGTTTGGCTGGTGGGGTTAGGCGGCGGCCCGTGGGGGAGGGGGCCGCGGGACGGGGCCGGCGAGGGGAGAGGGTGGCGTTGGTCGATGGTGGGGGCGAGCTGGGTGGTGCGGCGAGGCGGCGGGCTGGAAAGTGGGGGTGGGGTGGAAGCACACACCTCGCCTTACAGACCGGCGCACGAGCACGGTGCCCGGATCTCCAGCAGTCGGCGCACCTCACCGGTCTCGGCAGTCAGCTGCACGGTGGTTTGGGGCGAGGCACCTCAAGCAGCAACCCCGGAAGCGCCTTAAAAAGGCCACGCGACGCAGCTCGGCGCGCTCCCGCACAAGGCCGGGCCGCAGGCCGCCATAACCACGCCGCCCCGAGACTGGTACGGGCGGTGCACGCCGCCGGCGCTTCGAAGCGACCACAGTCCATTTCAGGGAGGAAACGGTCTTCACCCCGCCACGGCGGTCACTGGTCTTCCCCGCCCACGCAGAGTTAATGGGGGGGCTAGGCGGAGCGCAGATGATAGACTGCAGCCGAGGCGTCGAGGCCGGTGCAGACAATGAATAGGCTGGAGGGGCGCAGATGGTGGAGTTGATGCGCCTGGGCGCAGCTGGCCTCGGGCTTGAATGCCCGCGCAGGGCGCCGGCTCGACTTGATTCCCCCACCTCCTGCCCCGAGCCAGCAGGAGGGGTACCGCCGGACCCAGCAGTTTGGGGTGAGGGGCGGCGCCAGATCCAGATGGAGGAGCCCAGCGAAAATGTTATACGGAACCATGGTTCAGCCAAACCTACGCTCGACACCATTGATCTATGGACACTTTTTATAAGGATCCGTGCATGATTGATTAAAAAAATGCATGATGAGAGCTGTTTGCATGTTAAACAATGCATGACGCGGATCCACATGTAGCAGGATGTTGAATCGTACGGCGTTGACCATAGGTTCGGCTGAACCATGGTCCAGAATCACACCTCTCGGAGCCCGGGGAGAAAAAAGTGCAGCCAGATGCGCCGCCACGGAGTGCGCTGAACCGGGTGGGCTCCAGCATTGAGTTGGTGAAGGAGGACGTTTAGTGGCCGGCGTGCCCGGAGTGTGCACGCCGGTTTGGTGGTCGCCGCTCCCGGAGCGGGAGGAGGCGAGGTTTCGGTCATGAGGCGTTGTTCACGGGAAAAAGTTATGGCCTTTCATTACAAAAGTTATCACATGGCAACTTTGATATCATCTGCAACTTCAATAATCTTGGGACGATAACTTCAGAGTTCGGAAAAAATTTCTTTTTCAAACAAGTTGGCTTCCTTGGTTAACTTAGTCTTGCTATCTATCATTGATTTGTGGTGCAGACCCTGGCAGCTTGGTTCATTATTCTTGCATCTGGCTTTTTTGACCTCTTCAATCTAAAATACGACAAGTCAACTAACATATGTATATTTCTCCAGGAGATGACGGGGGAATAGCAACAAAGTTGCCCGTACTCCATCGACTAAGCCCATGCTCTCCCCTCAACACGTCTACGCTCGCTCTTCGTGGCTTTCTCCGACGCAGTGGCAGCCTAAGTCGTCCACACTCACGGCTACTTAACTCCGGTGCGACCATCCCAACCATTGGCATTCCCTTCCCAACTCTCCCGGGCGCTTCCGAGTTCCACGTAGTCGTCGGCTACGGCACTCCGGCGCAGAAGCTCGCCGTGTCATTTGATACCACACTGGGAACCACGTTTATCCAGTGCAAGACGCGTGTCGATGATGCCATCGACAAGGCATTCCACCCTTCTCAGTCTTCCTCCATTGTCCAAGTCCCATGCGGCTCGCCGGAGTGCCCGTTGAAGTCCTGCTCCGGACCTAGCTGCACGGTCACTGAGAGCAAGGATGGCTCCATGGTTTTCAATGCCACCGCCGTGATGGACACACACGCGCTCTCGCAAGTGACACAGGAAAACATCAGGGCCATATGCTTGGAGATAGGCAGCGAAACTTCTGAGAGCTTATCCGGCGTTCTCGATCTCAGTCGGGACAACCACTCATTGGCATCTCGAGCTCCTTAGTCTCCGGACACGGTGGCCTTCTCCTACTGCCTACCCTCTACGGTCGCTGCCCAGGGCTTCCTCTCCATTGGGGCACCCCGGCCAGAACGCTCCCGCCACTTCGTTGTCTACACCCCCTTACGGACCAACACTCTACTCCCAAACATGTACGTTGTCCGGCTCACCAAACTAGATGTTAGCGGGGTGGATGTCAAGATCCCGAGGAAATAGCATAAAACTACTACTTTACAGGCTAGGGTTCCAAAAAACTACCGGTTTTTAATTTTTCTCAGATAACTACCAAATGAGTGGTCGACTGTTTCAAAAAACCCAAAATGCATGTTGTTTAAACATTAAACCAGTTTATGACAGATCGGGCCCACACCTAAACAAGCCGTTTGTCTGACCAGTTGTTTGACCGTTAACTGACATCTGAGACCCACATGTCAGCCATGGAGCAAATAATCAAAGAGAGTTTTCAAAAAAGCCCCACCCAGGCGAACAGGTGAAGGACAAGGACCAAAACGAGGGGGAAGAAGAACTGCTCCCTCCGCCGCCTGCTCGCCCGCTCGCCGCCGGCAATCATCGGGGCTCAACCCCGGCCATTCCTCCTTCTCACCGAGCTCTCTACACCCAGCGCCGGGCTAGCGGCCTCCTCGTGCTACGCTGGACCGCGCGTGGACCTCGCAACACAGGCGACTCCCGAAGATGCGAGGCCCGACCCGTGGTGGGCGGCGGTTCCAGGGCAGGCGGCGCCCCATGGTGGCACGATGGCGACCGCAGGCGGCGACCCCATGCGGCGCGGCGCGACGACACCAGGTGGAGCGCCATGGCGGTGCGGCGGGGACCCCAGCCCACGCCATGGCGGCGCGGCGGCGACCCCAGGCAGCGCCATGGCGGCGCGACGGCGACCCTAGGCTGCACGGCAGCGACCCCAGGTAGTGCGCCATGGCAGCGCGACAGCAGCAACTCCATGGCCACGACATGCCAGCCGGATTGCTCTTTTACAATGTGCAAGGACCCGCTTTTTTAAAATAATTATAGGGACCTAATTGCTTTTTCTAAATATTTGGAGGGTTATTTTGTAAAAAATCTATGAAAGAGACACTGACATGTGGGCCCCACATGTCAGTTAACGGTCAAACACATGGTCAAAGAGACGGACCGTTTAGGTGCGGGCCCGATCTGTCATAAACAGGTTTAATTTTTAAACAACATGCATTTTAGGTTTTTTGAAACAGCCGACCATCTGTTTGGTAGTTATCTGAGAAAAATTTAAAACCGGTAATTTTTTGGAACCCTAGCCTGTAAAGTAGTAATTTTATGCTATTTACTCCAAGATCCCGTACGCGCCGCATGCCGGAAACGTGTTGTTCGTGCTCGGCACCACGTTCACCTACCTGAAGCCGGAGACCTATATGGTTCTTCGTGAGCAGTTCAAGTCGCAGACGACGGAGTACCGCGTGGCGCCGTCGATGGGCGGCCTCGACACCTGCTACAACTTCACTGGTCTGACGAGAATGAGTATGACATCCATCACACTATGGTTCGAAGGATGGGCATATATTGTCCCCGGCATGGAACAAATGATGTATTTTGGGCGTCGGGGAGATATCTTCTCCGTTGGGTGCCTCGCATTTGCTGCGGCATCGGATTTACCTTCAGGGATCACTGCAGTCATCGGCACCCTGCTGCAGGAGAGGACAGAGGTGGTGTATGACGTTCATGGAGGGAAGATGGGGTTTTCCCATAAACAATGCTGGTGAAATCATTGACTAAATATTTGCACCTCGTTTATTTTACCCTGAAGGCTGGAATGCAGCAGCTATTTGCGTTTCAAAAAGGAAAAGAAACGAGGAGATCTGTAACTTTACACTACAAAGTTTATCACCAACCGCTTTCTGAGTGATGTCCTATTTTATCGTGAATGCAGAGTCCAGGATGTTGAGCTAGGATTCCTAAAAAGATTCTTCACTTTTACATTCCACAAAACATACGTGATGATCTCTCTGAAAAGTTTTCGCCATGATGTATCACATGTGTATTCTCATTTCACCTATCCTCAATTGAAAAAACAAAACTCATAAGCGTCGTTGTAGGATACAAAGAACCAATTTGGAACAACGCCCCAAACCTATAGTTTAAAAACCCAGACCGGTGACCGAACCGGTGAGCCCGCCGGTTCAGGTTTTCATCGGTCTGATCACGGTTCAGTGTGTGATTTTTAGATAAAAAATTATTTATATTAGTTCTATTTTATTTGATCAATAATCCTACACTCACGGGCAAACAACGGGCTTTTACGGAGGTCTTAGTGCTAATTAACTTCTCTGCCCTTAATTTTCAGGAAGGGTGGAGCCCTTTCTCCCCTTAATCCCAATTAAATTATGCCACATGTGACAGCCCGTGAAAGCCTGTAAAAATCGTCCGTGTGTGTAGCAAAGCCCTTATTTGATAAGGTATTAGCAAAAGAGTCCGTGCGTTGCAACGAGAGAGAAAACACAACACACACTCTTAACTCAACAACCATCACTCAAGACCACAATAGGCCCATCTCCTTTATTTTTGCGAGGCATCATATTTGTGTTGCCGCTTATCCTTCTTCTCACCCTCGCCGGCGATGGTCTCGGTGTTCACACAAAACAACAAAAAATGTGTGTTGAATATGGTTAATCCTAAGACGTCTCTCTCCCTCTCTCCTCCCTCTCCCTCTCTCTCTTGCTCGCTTTCCCTCACTCTCGCGATGAGAAATCTATTGTTTTCCCCTGCGACATTTTTCAGAGGTACACATGTGTAATTATTTCAGGATGGGAACGGGCCGACCCGGACCTGGCCTTGGACCTGGCCCTCATGATCTCAAGGTCAATTTATGAGGCCACGGGGCGACCCATTTTTAAAGTGCCAGCGGCCTTGCTGGCTCGATGGGTATCTCGGGTCGGCCCAAATTCTAGTTGTTATCGAGTGTTGCAGGTAATCTGATATGTTGATTTGAAAAAAACAAAAAGATAATCAGATATGTTGATCATACGCAAGGCCGCGCTCACACACGCCTGCTGCGCGCGCTGTGATCCGCCCGGCCTGGTCATGTCTGCGCGCACGACGCGGGCCTACTAGCAGATCCTACATGTACCGCTCAAAAAAAAAGATCCTACATGCATGCACGATTACACGTTCAAAGGAATTAGCTAGCTACGCCTGCGGGCACCAACGAACTAACGACTCAACTACAACAAAACACATGCATGCCCGAGTAACTAGCTGCTAACTCACGCCTTGAAGGTGGGTCGACCCTGCTGACCCATTGGGTCAGTCGGTGCCGGCTCCAGTGACCCAACTATGGTTCGAGGCCGATCCACCCGACCCATTGGTCTTGATTTTTCGGGCCGGGTCAGCGACCCGGCGGGCCGACCCGGCCCATTCCCATCCTGAGTAATTATCGATGTTTTCTTTTTCGTATATCGTTATACTGGGGTGTTTATTTGCAATCCGGATCGCCGCCGGTATGAAAAAAATGAATCTTGCGCTATAAATTATAAGTTTGCTTCCACAACAAAATTTTAAACATATTTAACAGGTAAAATTAACATCATATTTAGATTTCACATATTTTTTTAATAAAATTTCATATATAATATGTTAAAATCAAAGTTACTATTTAAAAGATACAGATAATTTAAAAAAATCATTTGGTTTGACTCAAATATATTTAAAAATATTTAACAGGTAAAAATAATCTCATATTCATATTCTACATATTTTTCTAATCAAAGTTTATATATAATATGTTCAAATCGGAGTTACGGTTTAAAAGATATAGATGATTTTAAAAAGCATTTGTTTGACTTAAATATGATCTGCGGATGAATTATCTAAAAAATAAGAGGGGGTTTTGAAAAAGGTAAAATAACGGTTCGGGTGTGTCGGTGTCAAAACCGGCGGATCTCGGGTAGGGGGTCCCGAACTGTGCGTCTACGCCGGATGGTAACAGGAGGCAGGGGACACGATGTTTTACCCAGGTTCGGGCCCTCTTGATGGAGGTAAAACCCTACGTCCTGCTTGATTGATATTGATGATATGGATAGTACAAGAGTAAATCTACCACGAGATCAGAGAGCCTAAACCCTAGAAGCTAGCCTATGGTATGATTGTATGTTGTGGTTGTTGTCCTACGGACTAAAACCCTTCGGTTTATATAGACACCGGAGAGGGTTAGGGTTACACAAGGTCGGTTACAAAGGAGGAGATATCCATATCCGTATTGCTAGCTTGCCTTCCACGCCAAGTAGAGTCTCATCCGGACACGAGACGAAGTTTTCAATCTTGTATCTTCATAGTCTAACAGTCCGGCCAATGGAGATAATCCGGCTGTCCGGAGACCCCCTAATCCAGGACTCCCTCAGTAGCCCCTGAACCAGGCTTCAATGATGATGAGTCCGGCGCGCAGTATTGTCTTCGGCATTGTAAGGCGGGTTCCTTCTCCGAATACATCACAGAAGAATTTGAATACGAGGATAGTGTCAGATCCTGCAAAATAAGTTTCACATACCGCCGTAGAGAGAATAATATTTTCGCAAATCCAATTTGCTGACTCGTTTTGGCAGTATGACGTTGTGTCATGGCCCGGCGATTATTCGAACCGTTTTTCTTCAACCAGCTCCACACATAACGCGAGGCAGTTTCTTGACACGTCTTGTCGAAGCGGAGATCGTGTTCCCCCAATTACGGAATTCTCATTAATGCGGTCGTGGGTAACCCAACCGTGTCTAGGACTCCTAAATTATAGGCAAGTCCTAAATGGCTACGGAGAGGACGCTTGATATTCACCCTCTTTATAAAGGGACAAGGTTTTCGCTTTTTCCCTCTCGTGCTCAATCGAACCCTTCCCCCGCCTCGAGTTCTAACACCCAAAACCCAGGTTAGGTGCTCCGGATCTTCAATCATGTCCGGATCCAGCCTTCAAGGCCGATGGATGCCCTCCTCCGTTACGGAAGAGGACATTAAGAAATTGAGGGAGGCCAGATACCTGACCGCCGAGGTTTCGCATCGGCTGCCTGCTCGAGGGCAGATCGTCCCTACTCCCGAACCCAACGAGAACATCGTGTTCGTCTCCCACTTCCTCCGAGGTCTAGGCCTCACTCTAGATCCCTTCGTCAGGGGTTTAATGTTCTATTACGGGCTAGATTTCCACGATCTAGCTCCGGACTCCTTTCTCCACATCTCGACATTTATTGTCGTGTGTGAGGCCTTCCTCCGCGTTACCCCTCACTTCGGCCTATGGCTTAAGACCTTTGAAGTAAAGCCGAAGATGATCGAGGGGCAACATGCAGCGTGCGGAGGTGCATCAATAGGCAAGATGGCAGGAGCTCCATGGCCGAAAGGTTCCTTTGCAGAGGTGTCCGGATTATGGCAACGTGAGTGGTTTTACGTCACGGCTCCCAGAAGTGCCAAGTGGGCGGCTGCCCCCGCTTTCCGCTCGGGCCCCCCACCACAACTGATGTCATGGATTAGTAGAGGTCTGAGCTGGGGTCCAGCCAAAGGACGTGCATATACTGCAAAGCCACATCCGAGATCTCTTCGAGGGAGATTTTAATTTGGTTGTGGTAATACAAGTTATGCTGGTTCATCAAGTCTAGCCTTGCAAACGCCGGCCCCTTCGCTTGTGGGAGTTCAACCCAGAGGGACCGCGTGCCATTCAAACTTTCCTCGGCCTGACGCACGAGGAGATGTACAAGTCATTCTTTGGACCTCAAGTAGAGTGTCCGGATATTACCGAGGACGTGGGCCTGAGCAGTAATCGCGCCGCCGAACAAGTAAGAAATCCTCTGGCCGAACACACTGTCTTTTATTCGTTATGAAGTTATTTTTGAGAGTTCGCTTTTTGAGCAGGACTGGCTAACAAAGGCGAAGATGATTCGGTGTTTGGCCTCCCTCCCTGAGGGTTTGGAAAATCCGGTATTGGAAAAGATGCTCGAGGTTGCACCTTGCCCGGGGCCCTCGAAGGAAGATTCGGGGGGGGGGGGTAATACAGGTGGACGCGGGCCCCCATCGCTGCCCGTTCCAACCGAGGGAATGAGCGTCTCCATGAAGGAGGATAACCGGGGGAGGAAAATGACTGCTTCCGAGGATCCGGAAGCCGAAGCCTCCAAACGGGAGAAGAAGTCCCCCACAGAGGATCCTGCCTCGGGGGGTGCTTTTGCCGCACAAAGTCCGCGGGGGGATCAGTCCTCCAACGAGTCGTAAGTGATCCAAAATACTTTAATAGTAAAGGTGTGCTATCTTTTTTCTGAGAAAATAACCACCGCATATATCTTGCAGTTCGGGCCTTAGCCCCTCTCAGCTGAGCTCGTCTTCGGGGGATTTTCTTCCAGAGATGATGGAGAGCGAAACGCCTCCCCCGGACTCCTCCACTCAAGAAGCGGGCGACCCTGAAGTGTCGTCACGGAGGGCCTCTCCGGATCCGGTGAGGCCAGAAGACAAACCCATAGATCCCCGAAGTCCCCAGCGTCCGGCTCCCGAAGAGAGCAGACAAAAGAGTCCGACACCGTCTGGTGTGTGGTCGGACGTTCTGAGGGAGCTGGTGGAGCGAGCGGCCATCTCAGAAGAACACCGTACGCTAATGGGTACGGTGATGGAGAGAATTTCGTCCGCCGAAAGCGGATTACATGAAGCCTTTATGAGTCTACTGACATGCTTTGAGGTACGTGAGATAATATGTGATAGTACTGCACATGTTAGGTGTGCCCTGTGTAGATAGTAGCCCCTGAGA